ATATCTACAGATGTCTTTGTTTTTACATTTATCTTCACTGAGTTTATTCTTTTTTTAAATTGAATTGTTCTAAATATAAAATGCCTGAACTGTAGCGCCCCCTGTGTCCGGCTGCTGTTACTGTTCACTCACTGAGGTGCGAGCAGTCGGGGAGGGAGCGGCCGCCGGTGAAGACACGTGATTGACGGCTCTCAGGTTCTGACCTCCTATTCGCCGGCGTCCTCTGCCAATCACATCTGAGAGTTGGAGGAATAAACAGTGGAAGTGTATAAACAAACAAACAGAGGAAAAAGAGAAATATCTAAATTAGAGCCTGATCACACGGTCACAGCACTGAGAGCATTAGCACTAGTTTTCATGAAGGCTCAGATCATAGGTTCAGGTGTCTGCACCTCTGCAGAGGTGAAGCTGAGGAGGTCTGACTTGGGTAACGGTTCCTCCTTCCTCCTCCTCTTCTTCCTCTTCCTCTCCCCCAGGGCCGTCCCGGTTCTCCATCCCGGGATCGAGGCTCGGTTCTGGGGCAGGAGCAGAGCCGTTCAGCCCAGGATCACAGCTGCCAGCTGGGGGAGCAGTGGACAGCTGGTCCCTCTCTGAGACCTCAGCTGGAGACTGAGAGTCTGGATCTGCCATCTGAGAGTTGAGACTATTTCAGCATCCACTTCATTAAACAAAATGTACATGTGATGACATGACTCACCATCTTTCCAAACTAACACTAAGACATCAGAAACTTCAGACAGAAACTGTGACTATAAAACCTCGTGGTGAACAACCTGAGCTGCCTGAGTGCCTCTGAGCCACAGAGTCACCTGCTGCAGAGCGAGGCAGCAGGAGGAGAGGAGTGGTGACTGACCTGTGTGTCGTCCTTCCTGCCGAACACTCAGAGCCTGAGGACGAGTCCCTGCTGCTCAGGAAAAACTCCACCAATAAATAAATGAACCGACGAGTCAGAGTCAGAGGAAGAGCGAGGCGCTGAGACAATGACAGACAGAGAGAGAGGGATCAGGAAGTAAATCAAAACTGGCTCTGCAGAGGAAAAGTTTGACTGTTGCCATGGTAACCCTAGCAGGCAACTAAACACACAACAAAGCTGCCTCCTGCCACCAGGAGAGACGGTGTGTGTGTTGACCAACGCAGCCGGTTCTCCTGCTTCATTTACACATCATACATTCACTTTGACACTGACTCTGAATCAGTTTAAACCAGAGTTTGGATTACCCTGTGCTGGGGGGTGGGGCTTCTGCATGGGAAGTAAACTTGTGGACAGTTATGTGAGGACAATTATTGATCGGTCTATCTCTAATTATTGATTGGTCTGACCAACCTGTGAGCATCAAGGTTCTACTTTATGAAGAGGCTGTAAAGCTCACTGCTCAGCTGCCTGTCACTTATTGGTTAGGATGCTTTTGTAAATGATTCAAGGTGCTGACCCTTGACCCCTGTGAAGTCAGAGAGGTCAGAGGTTTCATTTGAGTAAAACCTGAGTAAAAGTCTCTGTCTATTTTATTTAAAACGCATGTAATCCATCATCAGCCTTGACTAGAACTTGAACTTTTCTGAGTCTAATGAGGCTGACGAATGGAAGTTTTACAGAAACAGTTTCTGGCCGAGGGCTGGAGGCGTTCAGCGGTCGCTTCCTCTAATACGGGATAACTGCAAACTTCCAATAATGGAAGCTGCCGGGCCTGAAGACCATCAGTCCAATAAGCACATCAAGAGAGTTCATGTGTTTACTGCACTGAGCTGAGACTGCAGATGCAGCGGAGAGAATCTCAGTCCTGGGAGAATCCAGCAGCTGAAATGTGAATGTTGAGTTCAGTCAAAGGAAATCCAGAGAGGACATGTAAAATAATGACTTTATTTATTACACAAACTTAAAACTTCCACTGTGATGTAATATCAGCGTTCTGTACATATATGAAAAACAAACACACTTAAACTAATTGGATTCCTCTTCACATGCAGTCTGTCTGATTAAAGGAAGGCAGCTGCAATACTGCATCGATCCACAAGATGGAGCTACAACACAAACATTAACTGATAACCTGCAGGTTTCAGCACAGACTGATGGTCACATGTTTCAAAGCATCAAGACAAAGTGAAATATTAAATACAAAAACTGTTGAAGATTTTTAGAAGTTTTCCCAAACCAGCCTCGACTGGAGGTGATCCAGAAGAAGAAGCAGAACCGAAACCTCCTGAGACTGAGACTCTGGTGCAGGTGGAAGGTGGAGGAGTCACAGGGATGATGGTGGAGCTGTTCTCAGATCAGTTCAGACTGCAGCACTGAGAGTCATCTCCACTTCTTCTGATTCCTCCGTCAGATCTTTAGAACGATCATCACTTCCATCTGTGGAGAGAAGAAGAACAGAGGAGATAAACGAGTGTTTACAGAGACTCACTTCATCAGCTGTCAGTCAGTGATGCAGCAGGGACTTCAGTCCTGTTCAGTCCAGATGTGCAGCAGCTGTGTAGCGTAGCCTGCTTCCTCTCAGCTCTCATGTTAACGTGTTGGAGTGAACACTGAGCTGGAGGCTCACAGACCTGCAGAGACTTTTAGCATCAAGTCTGTTCACTCTGCACATTTCCCTCAGTCCACAGTGGAAACAAACTGCTGAGAGTCATGAAGGTTCGTCACTGCAGCTTCTTTTCTGTTTGAATTCAACATTCAGTCTGAATTAAAATGATTCATTTCAACACTAATCAACTGTTTCCTCTTCGGGGCGCCTCGGTGGCTCCGCTGCTCCAGAGCGAACCGTTAACACTGAGTCCTAACTGCAGTGGCCCAGGCTCCAGTCTGAGCTGTGGCCCTTTCCTGCGTCACCTCCTCTCTCTCACTGTGGCTGTCAAAATAAAGGCCCAACATGCCCAAAAAATAACTTCAAGAACTTGTTTTCCCTATCTGGCTGTCTGATTAAACACTTAGTGATGGGCTGTAGCTTGCTATCAATACAAATGAAAGACTTCCTGCAGCTCCTTCACAGTAAAAGCCTCCGTTAAGACTGAGCTGATCACGTCCTTGATGTTTTACATCAGTTTGTGCAGCTTAGCTTGGGTCAGTGAGGTTTGCACTGAGATTAGAAGTGGTCTGAAGAGTCTCAGACACACAGCGTGTAACAGATGTGTCTGAGGTGCACATCTGTCTTTCCTGTACATCGTTCCCTTCATGTTTTCTGTCACTCTCTACTGTCAAGCATCAAATAACAGCATCAGTGGAGAAGTGGTCTGAATCTACACCTGAACATCTTCTGCCCTTCTTTGTCCAGATTACTTTACTATGTGAGGAACAAGATCCAGGCTCAAAGGTCCACTTACTAATGATTCACAGCTTTCAGACTTTTTAAAAACACTTCATCATGATATATGAATATTTTCTTAGTGTTCATTCTTGAGCTTCTCAGTTGTTTTATTAGAGAAACACAATCAATAGATTCTTGTTATTAAACCCACAAGATCCATTTCAGTTTGTAGTTTCAGGTGGTTTCTGCAGTAACTGCATCATTAATATAAATCTATCAGAAAATCATTTTGTCTGAAGTTTTCTACAGTAGAAACAGTGTCTTACTGTGTGTGTGAAGGTCCAGGTTCATTCCTGAAGAACAGAGGAGGATCTCTGGACCGGTCACTCTTCACAGACAGACAGCTGGGGACTGGAGACTCTGCTCTCTGTCTGTAGGACTCACCTCTGCAAACACAAACATGTTTCATTCATATTATTTCAGTATTGTTCTTATTCTCACGCTCTCCTCAGGTACAGACCTGTTACAGCACCAGTGGAAGAGGGTTCAACATCAGGGCAAAGACAAATGAATATTTTCTGAAGGTGTAAATTCTGACATGGAGGATCTGAGTTGTTCTGCTACAGAAAGACCATCAGTAGATTCTGGTGAGGAAACCCAAGATCCAACTTAGTTTAAAATGGAATCAGCTCTAATGGTTCATCATCATGAATATAAATCTATTAGTAGATCATTTTGTCTGAAGTTTTCTACAGTAGAAACAGTGTCTTACTGTGAGTGTGAAGGTCCAGGTTCATTACTGAAGTTTAGAGGTTCTTTGGACCGGTCACTCTTCACAGACAGACAGCTGGGGACTGGAGACTCTGCTCCGTCCTCCTCTTCCTCCACATCACTCATCTTCTGGACTTCAGTCAGTCTGAGAGGGAAACCAGTAACACTGACTGTGAGATAACACACACACACACGCCCACACGCCCACACGCACACACACACACACACACACACTGTATAATAAAGTAAATAGTATAAAAACCTGGTCAGTGTTCTTGGGTTAGTTGTAGGTCCATTGTGAATATTCAACGTCGTGTCACAGACGAATCAAACGGTTGATTCTGACGGAGAGAACCGGAAGTACCACCTCATGTTATTTCCTGCTTTCCTCAGTGTCTTTGTTTGGACAAAAGTTCATTCGGACTCTTCTTCCCGCCACAGAGAGAAAAGTGACTCTGACACTTTGACAGTAAAATAAGAGTAATGTTGTTTTACCGCTCACCTGCCTCAGACTTCAGCTTCCCTCCTTCTGCTCCGTCGATTCAAAATGGAGTCTGAACTTTGAGTTTCACTTTTACCTGCCGATTCTTACAGGAAATCACGAGTCCGTGTACGTGTGTGTCTGTGTGCGTGTGTGTGTGTGTGTGTGTGTGTGTGTGTGTGCGTGTGTGTTGTTCACCAGTAAGACAAACAAAATAAGGGGCGAGGTTTCACAAAAGAACAAGGACATACACGTCTATCAACCTTGATTTGGAAATGCAAGACATGAGAAACAAGTTAAACATCTTATTTATTTTAAAAAAGAATATTTTTTTCTTCCACATGATGGGAGGAGTCCTCGAGGACTATGGAAACACCCACAGAGCAGCTGGAAGTATTGTTGAAGGACTTCCTTGGTTTTGAAGTGTTTTTATTTTATTTTATATATTTTAATTATAAATACATTGTATGAAAAAATACAAATGATGAGTTTTTCAAACGTATCAGGGATTTACTCTTCAGAAAACTGATGCTCAGCTCAGTGACCTTGGAGTGATGGTAATAAATAACGGAGTAAACTGGACAAGACCGCTTGCCTTTTACTTTGAAAAGCGGGCACCGGAAGCGTCGCCGCTTGTTGTAGCTTGAAGCTAACAGGTGGGGATGATGTCGGCTTGTGTCAGAGCGTTGAAAAGCCGTTTGTCGGCTCTTTGTCCGGCTGGTTTCACCTCGCTGCTCGGGAGGAATCATCCGGTGAGATTTCCCGCCGGAGGACAGCGGATGTCACACACACAGACAGGTACCGAGCCGGAGCTGAGGTTAGCTGGCTAATGTTAGCAGCCCCGTTAGTCTGCTACCTGCTAGCTGCTCACACGATGAAACGCTGCAGGTACCGCCAGTGAAAACACACCTGTCCTCGTTCGGACTTGGTCCAAAGCGTCACTATGGAGACAAGATACAGGTTTCCGACTTTACCTGTCCGCACGAACTTTAATGAGCCGCCTGGGTCAAAGTCTGAACCAGGTGTGTCAAGTCACAGGGAATCTGACGGTTCAGCTCACAGCTGTGAAAAATAAAAGATTAATAATTAGACAAACCGCTTCATATAATCACAGCTCAGTGTGTCTGTGTCACCACGTTGTTACTGAGGGTTTATTATACAGACAGACATTAAAATTAGTCTTTATTCAAACGTTAATGCATGTCAGCTTTTATTGTGAAAAATATTAAATAGTGACACTTAAATCTCTGTGAATAATAACTTTTAATTAGCAGCTACCAAGAGAATCAACACCTCAAAGACAGTTTGGTGGAATGTAATAACAATAATTGATTATTAGTGATGGATATGACCTTATTAATGAGAATGAATGTAGTCGCCATCTTTGTACCATTCACTGCTCACTGAAGGCGCTCTTTTGTTGTGTATTATTGTTGTGGTCAGGGTTAAAAGGATGATGTGAAAAAACAAGTCAGTAGGCTGGAGAATGTGCTAAAAAGGGGTATTTATTTAAAAAAAAATTACAAACAGAGGGAAAATGAACCTGGGAAATAAAGAATAAAATAAAAGACCACTGGCCCATAGCACCTGCTCAGGTAAGTACAGCATGATGCAAACCGGTTTCCCTCTCCCTGACTGAAATAAGTGATATAACATAAAACAGTGATAATGTGGGGAACAGGGTCTAGTGAAAAGGGAATGGAGCAGCCTTTTCACAGGTTGTATTATCCCACAGTTGTAGATCTGCACTGATTAGTTGATTCATCAATTAGTTGATTGACAGAAAAATAACTGGCAGCTATTTTGATAATTTAAAAATGCCAAACGTTCCTCAGGTTGTCTTTTTTTTAGGATTTTCTGCTAATTTTAGTCTGAAGTCATTTTAAATTCAGTCTTTTTTTTTTGCTTTTGCTTCAATGAAAAACTGTGACTGTTTTCAGTTGTCTGGTATTTATAGATAAAACAAGAATTTAAATTAATGGACAATACTGAACTGAAAAGCTACAGGTTTGATGTGAAATTTCCCAATGGATGAACTCCACCTATTCTAATGAGACCATGATTGTTGTGTGATTTCACTGTAAAAAGATCAGAGTTGACTCATGTCTCACTGTGATTCACTGTCTACTTTTAAAACAGGAGAAAACCTTCGACCACTGGAGGGCGTCAGAGTGTTAGACTTGACAAGGTAATATTCAGCCTCAGTCCTCTCTGCTGCAGCATCAGAGATAAAGTTTGGATCTGAACGTTTTTATATGTCTGCAGGGTTCTGGCTGGTCCCTTCGCCACCATGATCCTGGGAGATCTGGGAGCTGAGGTGATCAAGGTGGAGAGACCAGGTGAGTCTTTGTGCCTTTCTTCCCTCCTCACTTTATCCTGCATCCTTCATAGTGCGTTTCTATCTGAGTACGATGGTTTTTGTGTTCTGCTGGACAGGTGCAGGTGATGACACCAGAGCCTGGGGTCCTCCGTTCGTCAGTTCAGAGAGCGCCTATTTCCTCAGCGTCAACAGGAACAAGAAAGTAAGTCAGGACACTTTAAAGCAGCTGGAGAAAGTCTGTTCAACACACACTCACAGTAACACAGAGATCCTCACTCAGCGCTGTCGTAAAGTCTTGTTGTTATGCTGTAAATACGCCATTGCAGAACCACACAGGTGGATTTCATACGTTCAGCTCTACGCAACTTCATCTTCCTCCTGGTCAAATATGACTCCAATACAAGTGAAAGTTGTTCAATCAAAAAGTACTGCAGTATTTGATTTTAAAAATACTGAAGTATTCAAAAGTACATTTTATTATGTCAACACATTGTTGTATTGTTCCACAGCACGTACTTACTTGTAGAACCTGTAGAATAAAAAGCTTGTAGAATGATACAGAGCCGATAGAAATGGTCATAAAAACACAATTGATAAAATAAAAGGAGCCATTGTTGTTTTTCGTATTTCTTTTTTTTTTTTTGTGTCAGGGATGACGTTTGGTCGAGATAAACACATCTCTCTTTATTTTTAAAGTCTTTCTTTATTTCTAAAATGTGGAATGTTGGAGCCTATTGACTTAAGTTAAAAATTGGTTTAACATAATAATTGTTTTTGGATTATTTGTAAATTAAGTTGAAAATTAATTTCTATGGATAAAATAAGAAAAGGAATTAAGAAAGAATTAATATTTATTGTTATTATTGTAATGGATTGTTGATTAGGATCCTCCTCCTCCTTGCCGCCCATGATTACAGAGGGACCACAGCTGGTTTCTTTGTGTTGTTCGCTTGATGGATTGAGTGAGGCATGGGAGGAGATGATACAGTTTTTCGACCGCTAAATACGCTAACAGTAAAGACTCTAAAGTCAACCTTAGTTTCTTTATTTGTTTATTTATTTGTTTATATACTGAAAGTTAACCGGAGATCGTTTTTTTGTTTATGGAAATAAAAACCAAGTTTTTAGTTGAAGCCATCTCTGTGCGTGCTTATTTTGTTTTAGTGAGTCGTAGCCCTCCTCCTCACAGACTGCTCTTTTATTTTTGAACTTTTTGAATCATGTTTTGGGTTTGTTGGAATACAAGAGCAGCCATAACATGGAACATGCACGTAAGATAACGCCATGGTGCTCTGGTGAAGAATCTTTGGTTTTTCTCCTGTGGTGAACACAGAGTATTATTCTATCACATTTTTCAAAATAAAAGATTGACTAAAAGCGCTGCTTCAAAGTAAGGGTCCTTCATAGAAATGCAGTGGAGTCAAAAGTACAACATTTGTCTTTAAGTGTAGTGGAGTAAAAGCCAGAAGTTTCCAAAAAGAATAATTAAGTGCAGTACAGATACACAAGAAATATAGTACAGTACTAGTTCAGTACAGTACTGAAGTAAATGTACTTTGTTTCTGTCCACTCCTGATCATTATAAAAAGCAGAGACATGTCATCAACTGGCTTTATCCAAAAACCACCACTGCTCGTATCACTGTCTCTTCTACACACAGTCATGTTGTGAGAGTTTGGTTTTAAAGTTCAGAAACTTTCATTCATGATTTCATTTGATCCAAACCAGCTGTGTTTTGGTTCCGGCCCGGCTCATGTTCACACTCGCCTTTTACGAAGTGAATTTGAATGTCATCATGTCATCCTGCATGGTTCTTTAACATCCTGTCAGTGAACGCAGCTCCAGCCTTAACGATGAGCCTCTGCCTGATCCTCAGAGTATCGCCGTGGACCTGAAGCATCCCAGAGGAGCGCAGATCATCCAGCAGGTACGACACGTCAGCAGCAGCAAGATCTGCTTTGATATGTTCTGCACCAACACCAAAACATGTCTGATACTTCACTCTGAGAAATATAAAAGTCTTCTCAGCTGAAACTGGACAAATGATGATTAAAACCAGGATCAGTCAGATCAGCAGCACTATGGCTCTGACCATGTGTGATGTCAACTTTCACTTTTCAATACGACACGTTTTAGTCAGAATTAAAGAGTTGAACTTATATGAAACGTAACTTTAGTCTGATTTACAATCAATCATCAAAAATGTGTGTGTCTCAGCTTACAGGAGTTTGTGACGTGCTGGTAGAAAACTACCTGCCAGGGAAGCTTCATCAGATGGGTTTAGGATACGAGCAGCTCAGCAGAGTGAACCCACGGCTCATCTACTGCTCCATATCAGGTACTGACAGACCGACTGACTGAAGCCTCTTTTCCACTGGTCAAAAACCCGCTAAGACCCTCTAACATCAGGCTTTCGTCGGCAATGGAAAAGTGAACAATCTGCTTTAACACTCGGGTCAGTTTTCACTCCCTTTCCTGCTGTGACGTCTTTCAGACGCTGTAAACACACCTGTCACCTGCCCAGCTGCTGTGAAACCAGAAACACCGCGGCTACGCAGCGCTCAGGGCTGAAAGAGTGAAGCAGCAGCTTCAGAATAAGTTTAAAAAACACACAATCGCTGATCGAAGCGTCTCACACGGAGGCTCCGACACCTTTACAGGAGCAAGCAGAGACTGTCGGGCAGATTATTACTGTGGCTCTATGTTGCACCATGAGGGCAAAGTTTACAGGCTGATCTGTTCTGAGAAGAATCTGCTGATATGAGCTTTAGAAAGTGAAGAGAGGCGTGTACGTCGGTGACCGTGAGTCTGATGTAAAGGTTCGCAGTCCTGGACGAGAAGCGCCGCCAGCTGTTGTTCATCTCATCTCGCTTCACCGACCCGTGTTTTCAGTCGTGCCTGAGGCTCGTTTAAAGGCCCATTACAGTTAACAGGCGGCGTCGCACTCTCCTCAGCGGGAAGTGGCTCTGCTGGCACAACCGCTGCGGCAGCCGGATAATCTGGACCGGCTGCACGCAGTCGCACAGAAACAGGGGAATGTGGTTTCATGGGAACGTTGCTGCGCTGGTTGACTAATGGGCAGCGGCTGGCAGAAACTAGCAGACGAGGAAGGCGGAGTCGGTGTCGGGTTTATTAGTCGACTCAGCGTTTATTGATCATGAGCAGTTTCATCGATGTTAAACGTCAGTGTTGTATCAGCAGTGATTCATGTTCAGACAAGACCTGGTTCATCAGATTCCTCATGACTGAGGCTGGATGTTTGAAATCACCGTCGAGCCGTCAGTGACCTATGTCCCATTGTGGTGCATTCAAGGACACTCAGTTTTAGTGTCTTTATTTATTTGATCGGAACAATGTAATTTAACATAGTTTCAAATCAAGGCATGAAACTAATGGAGAGTTTATAGCTGTTCTAATTCTGTGGCTCGTAGGGCGGGTCGTCCCCTCATCAGAGGGTCGGAGGTTCGATCCCCGGCTCCTCCAGTCCACATGTCGAAGTGTACTTGGTCAAGACACTGAACCCCAATTTGCCTCCTGGTTGTTAAGACTAGAAGAGCACTATTCAAATGCAGTCCATTTACTCCTGTCCCCTTTAACATGTAATAATAATATATAATAATAATAATATGTAATTATAATTTCTTTTTTACAAAGCAGGCAGGTACACACCAACTTCTTTTCTTTTTCTTTTTTTGTTGTAGGTATTTGGATTGTGTTTTGTTTCTCTATTTGATATTTTATGTATTAGGTATTTATTTTTTTTGTATTTCATTTAATTTTCTTTTCCTTCCTGTTGGATGCCTAAAAATTAACTGGTCCTAAACTGTTTCCTTATCATCTATTTTAACTTGTCAGATTCATTATTTAGTCTCATTAAAGGCTTTAAGTGGATCATGAAGTAATACAATAAATAAAGTATATTTGTTTAAAAATATAATGTAATTAATCAATTAAAATGGCACAGAACGGACAACACAATTGATAATATCCTACAATTAGCTAGAAATATACAGAAACAACAATCGCACAACAAGTTAAACAAAGACAATTAACAAAACAATTACATTAATTAACAATGATCTAGAATGGGTACAGCTGTGGTTTGCTTTTAGCCAACACTTAACCTTTGTTGTAAAGGGGTTTATTATCTGAGGAGTTTGAGAGCAACTATCTGAGTGTTGCCCGTCCAGTGCTGGTGAATTAGGGTCCAGTCTCCATGTTCTTCAGTGTGCAGTTCCCAGACTGAGCCACTAGATGTCGCAGACAGACCGTCTGAAGGCTTCCTCTCTGCAGCAGATTAACCCACTTATCTAGCTTCACACTGTTTCATGTTGGAGTCACTGAGGCCCCAACACATTTACCAGCTCCACACTGTGAGGCCTCTGTGATCTGTGGTGAATGTGTACTTTGTGTTTTTATGGGGTTTGTAGTTTTGTAGCCAAACTTCCTCATTTCCTCCAGAATCTGCAAACGTCTGTTTTTTGTTTCGGCTCAGTTTGTCGGTGTGAAAGATGATGAACCAACACAGATCAATAAAATAAATGGGTCAGCAGAGGGACTTGACTGATGGTTCTGGACCAGAAGAAAACCATGTCGGGACCAGTATTTAGTGGTCAAACTTTTTTACATCAAGGATCCTAAACCATCAGACCACAGACCCCCATTAAACTTTCGCCCATCAACACGATCTCTGCTTTTACTGTTTGAAACATTATGACCGAAACATTCACACACTCCGTCATTGTGTCACGTTACGGATGGACTTATAGTGGAGATATGTGATTCCCCTTTTTGCTGTGGACCCCCAGGACCCGCCTCAAGGACCCCACTTTGAGAACCTCTGCTTTAGTGCTCGGTTCAATGAAGTTTTATTCAAGATCATGAAAACAAAATCAGAGTCGAATTGTTTCCGTGTGAGTTTATGAAAAATAATGGAACCAGTAAAATCCCTCAGGAACAAAGGTAAATGAAAATGTATAAAGTTTAGATTAGATTATTGTGGAATAATAAAAATGTAATTTTAGATCAATAATCACTTTTTTAAAGCATCTAAACTTTGTATGTTCAGTCTTTAATCACCTTTTCTTTTCTGTTTACCTTTCTCTCTGTTCTGTCTTTACTCTTCCTCCTTGGTGTCTTCTCTCCCCACTGTTCTCTCTCTCCTGCAGCTTTATCACTCCCACATTTTTGTCCTCCCTCCTCCTCCTCCCATCCTTTAGGAAAAAAGAAAAGACTACATTACCCAGGAGGCCTCATTAAGCTGCAGCAGCTGGATGCAGTGGGCAGATTTACAGCCTGGTTTCATCCTGAGCAGGACGCTTCGTAGATTCATGTCCTGATCCCCCAAAACTGTAATGAAAGAAAAAAAAAAAAAGCTTGTTTCTACAGCGGAAAGTTTGTTAATGGACCAGAACCTGGATTTAGTGAAGGTTCTGTGTTGGTCTCAGTTACAGCAGGTCGGTCAGAGCCTTAAGATCACTTCCCACCGGGAACAGACGTCACTTACTGTGTCAAATGTTTGGATATAAGTAACAGTTTAAATGAAGGGTCTGACATCTGATGACTGCTGCTCCAACACTGATTGTAGATGTATCGAGGCGTCAGGATGTCAGTAAACTACATCCAACCAAGTCACTCATGAAGAGCAGAGCAGATGTGAGGGAGCAACAAGAGCAGCTAAAGATAACCACCACATGCAGGTAGAGTCAGCCTCTTTTTAGGCTCAGCGCTAATAACACCTGCCTCTTCTACCTGTCTGTGTTTGTTGGAGCTGAAGGAAAGACAGGTGATGTTCCACCTGTTGATCTGGACTGCTCCTTCACTTCGGTGCTCATCACTCACTCTGTTCCTCCACCTCCTCCATTTTATATCTCTGCAGTCAACTGTCCTCCGCGCTCAGAGCTGTGCACGTTCGTCCGGTCGGTGGGCTGGTTATCATTTCAAAAGCATTTATGGGAATGGTTTTTTTGTTGATAGGAAGTGACCACAGTCTGGACTCTTTAGGAAATCAATCTGGTTGTTTAGTCAGAGCGGCAGACTCAACAAGCAGCTGGAATGTGGTTTTCCTGGAAGAGGAGACGCTGAAAGGCCGACGGTTTGATTCCCCGCTGTGTTTCCTCTCCGGTCAGAGAGAAACCAGCCCACTGGCACACAGGCAATAACCTGTGTGTGTGTGTGTGCGTGTGTGTGTGTGCGTGTGTGTGTGCGTGTGTGTGTGTGCGCGTGTGTGTGTGTGTGTGTGTGTGTGTGTGTGTGTAGGTTATGGACAGACCGGTCCTCAGTCTCAGAGTCCTGGCTATGACTCCATCGCCTCGGCTGTGTCGGGGATGATGCACATCACTGGGCCCGAGGTCAGACTCCATCCTCCTCTTCTTTTTTGTTTTTAATCTGTTTACTACGGTGGCTCCCGAAGGACAAAAAGAGCAACAGCACAAACGTTAATGGAAACGGAAACCAAATCCCGAAATGCAACAAATACAAAAACGCAGATGATGTAGAGAAAACATGCGTAACAAGAATGAATACACCTGACGTCCTCCGGGACACCATCGTCCGTGACACTTACACAACTTCCTGTTGACAATCCCACCATGCAGTGTGTTGCGTTTTATGGATGCAAATGATGATGATGCAAAATAACGATGATTAGTAAGCGTCAGAAATCTCACTGTGCCTCTCACTATTGAAAGTCCATTATTAAAGGAGGAGTAAATGTGTGTAGTTACCAGATGTGTACTTAATAAACCATAACGCAGAGTTGTCTGTTGGCAGGACGGGGAGCCGGTGCGTCCAGGTGTCGCTATGACAGACCTGGCGACGGGGCTGTACGCACACGGAGCTGTCATGGCCGCCCTGCTGCAACGACACAAGACGGGGAGAGGGGTTCACATCGACTGCAACCTGCTGTCCTCACAGGTAACAGCTGACTGTGTGTGTGTGTGTGTGTGTGTGTGGCAGCAGCTAAGCCAGTTTATTAAATCACTTTAATTGTTTAACCAACCAATCAGATCACATTTCAGCCCACGTGTCCTGAACCTTTAACAAATTTGGGTTATTTATGCAGTTCCAAGTTTATTTTTGGAAAATAAATAAATAATAAATAAATAGAAGATCTTTTCTGGATAAAAGGAGATTCAGTATCTTTACAGATTCTTTCTTCTTCTCTGCACCCGGTGTTGCAGTGCATTGTGGGATTTCTACCTCGTCTTAAGATCCGACAAACCTTAACAGGAAGTTTACAGCGCTACCTCACTGAGGCAGAAGTTCCACTTTGTATTTAACATGTCACCTAAATAGGACATATTTTTATTGCTGGTTTACAGTGTTGTGTTCAGGTTCGGCTGGTAAATCACACTGCTGACGCTGCCTGTCTGATCGATGGGGTGTTTATAAGCAGAAGTGTCTCCTGTTTTACTGACTGTGTGACTGAACCTGGACTAATAACGAGTCCTGAAAACTTGCAGGTATTTAAACAAGCTGTTGATTTATCCTGAAAAGTCTGAACAGTTTAAACAAAGTGATCAATATTTCTCTGAGTGTTTCACTGTTTAAACAAATCAAACGATACGTTATCCTAAAGCCGCCCGGGACTCGGAGACGGATGGGATGCTCGTCGCTCTGGACTCTGAAGTATTCAAGACACCCAGGGTGCGTTTGATTTGTGGTGTCAGGACGAGCTGCCTGTGTGACAGTGTTGCTTTTAAAAGCGTGTTTTATGTTTCATATATTGTCATTTTTCAGCTCTTCCGCTGGGAAAGATGCTGCGACTCACTTCAGATCATTTCAAAACTTTATGTTCCTCCGGAGAGAAATTCAGTTTACAGATGGAGTTTACAATAAAAACAAAGAGAAATCCTTTTCCTGCTGAAAACGTGAGGCAAGGAAAGGTTTCTGAGGAAGAGCGTTCACTGTGACTGTAACAGGAGCTGAAGATGTTTTTCCTCTTCAGAAGAAGAAACAGAAAGCTCTTTGATCTTACTCTTTTTCCACCTCGTCCTCCTCCTCGTTCTGACAGTGATACCTGGATGATGTGTAAATCTGCTCCGTGTGTTTTCCACATCGTCTTTTTCTCTCCTACTCCACTTCCCACCCGCTGGCCGAGGAAATTATTGAGTCCCTCGATGATTCAACGTTATAGTGTGAATTTCCCACATAGATGCCCTTTATATGGCTTCATAAATGTACCCAATGATCATATTGTTACAGTGAGATTACAGGAAATGATAGATTGATTGATAAAGATGGATTAAGAAAAATAGATCGGTAGGTTAGGATAGATGGAGAGAAACTGATGGATTGGGGTAGACATATAGAAAGAGATGAATTGGAATAGGTAAACAGTTTATGATAGATACAGATAAATGGATGGATTAGAGTAGACAGGTAAATAGATAGATGGGCATAGAGATAAATTGATAGATTGATCAAACTCAACCTGACAAATCAAAAGTGAAATTCAGTGATTGGTTTTCGAGGCAGCGAGGTCTCGATCTCTGCGGTCGACTCCCATGGTTGCTACACATAAAATACCCACAATCCACCTCTCCCCCCTCCTCCCTCCCCATATCCCATGGTGCATTCCTGTATGAAGTGCTGCGACCACAGGCACGCCGACCGCAGAGCGGTTCGACCAGGAACAATGAGAGCACACAGCCGCCGTGGATCTGAATCCATGTGGACGGGTTTAAGTGAGTTTGGTTTGCTTGTCAGGGGAAATTTAATCATTACAAACCAATCACAGTCCACAGCCGTACCTCTACGAGCTGCCTGCAGGTCCTGAAAACGCTTTCAACATCAGGAGAGGCTCCACACCAGAGGCTGAAAAGTCATAAGTCTGAAGTTCAGCGCGAGACGTCTCTAAATCGTTGCGGTTTGCAGAGGAAATGGCTCAGTTGTGCAGAAGAAAAGCAACTTTTAGAAGATACACACTTCAGCGGACTAGTCCCGAGGGGAAGTTTCCCTGAGCATCTGTTGCTCCAAAAAGAAGGTAGTCCTCGTCCACGAGGACGTAGGGTTCGTTCAAAGCAGAACATAAATCGCTAACACTTTTTCAGGTCTGGTATTTCCCTCATAATTTCCTAAAACTTTGCTGGTATTTATCTGTAAATGATTAGATATTTCCAAGGAAGGCCTCTGAAGTTAGGGTTAGGGTTAGAAAGAGTTACTGAAGAAATAGTTTTAGAAATTGTTCACAAAGCTTTATAGTTTCCTTGAAAGAAGCAAAACGTCTGTGGTGTTGATCAGATAGAAAAAGTTCCACTCAGTCTTTATGTTACAGCTGTGGTCTGATGTCGACATCAGGTGATTGGAAGTGTGACTCAACATCTGTTGTGAAACAGAATGCGGCACAATAATCGCTTTATCTCGATTATCTTGTTTTTCTGATTAATCGCCCAGTCGCCGTTTCTACTTCACTGCTGCTGGATCGTGTGTAAATAGGAAACTCGAGGGCGAGGGTTATTACAGGGTTATTACAGGGTTATTACAGGGATATTAAAGGGATATTAAAGGGTTATTAAAGGGATATTAAAGGGATATTAAAGGGTTATTACAGGGTTATTAAAGGGTTATTACAGGGTTATTAAAGGGATATTAAAAGGTTATTAAAGGGTTGTTATAGGGTTATTAAAGGGTTATTAAAGGGTTATTAAAGGGATATTAAAGGGATATTAAAGGGATATTAAAGGGTTATTACAGGGTTATTACAGGGTTATTAAAGGGATAGGAAAAGGTTATTAAAGGGTTGTTATAGGGTTATTAAAGGGTTATTACAGGGTTATTAAAGGGATATTAAAGGGATATTAAAGGGATATTAAAGGGTTATTACAGGGTTATTACAGGGTTATTAAAGGGATATTAAAAGGTTATTAAAGGGTTGTTATAGGGTTATTAAAGGGTTATTAAAGGGATATTAAAGGGTTATTAAAGGGTTGTTATAGGGTTATTACAGGGTTATTAAAAGGTTATTACAGGGTTATTAAAGGGTTATTAAACACTGAACAGCATTTCTACCATTTGTACCTGCCAACATGTAAAAGTCTCCCTTCGCTGCTCTGAGCGTCTTTATTCCTCCTCATGTCGTGGACACACCACCGCTCAGTTTGTGGACGCTACTTCCTCTCGCCACGTGAACGACTTGTTACAGATTTTCCCTCCAATTCTCTTGTACTTCATCTCTTAGTGTCATGTTGGACTGGAAACTGAACCAGCTGATTCAAAGCTGATGTCTGCCGCTGATGACTGATGCTCGCCTTAATACGACAGCGGTGTCTTTGTGATGGCGACTCAAAGTCAGAATTCTGTCACATGTGGCGACACTGTCCTTCGGTCGGCCCGGCGTCTCTCAGCATCAGCTGGATGTATCCCGTACAGCCTGTAGTTAGAGGGAGAGAGCAGGTCCTGCTGTGGGTTTGACAGTATAAACCCAGAATAATATGAGCTTCTAAACAGAGCAGTGACTGACGGCACCACCCATCAGAGTGTCAGTCTGTCTCTGCTCCGTCATGTCAACATCCTTTAAAGCGTTACGACCACCTCTGATCTTCTGCCTCTCTTCTCTTGTTCCCCTTCTAATCATGCATTTCCTCTTCTTCATCCTCCTCTGCCTCCGCTCTCTCCCGCTCTCTGCCGTCACCATGGGCTCAGTAAATGTCAACAATGAGCACAAATACCACATTAAAGGAACTTCCTGGGCCGCAAAAGCATTAGAAAACAACAGAGTGTCGAAGGACAAAATCTTCACCATTAAAACTGAAAAACGGTTTGATGGAGGTTAGAGGAACGTTGGTGTCAGACTACATCACATTAATACATCACCAAGCTGCTGGAGTCAAAAGAACTATGTATGTGTGAAGCATGTTTCTGCCACAGAGCTGTGGGTGAAACAGGATGAGGATCGACTCGGAACAAGACTCGAGGCCGATTCGTTCGCCATTCGCGACGTTTCAGCTGCTTGTAAATTCAGCGGCGCCGCGGGGCTGAAGGTGAGCCGCTGGCTGTTCTCCGGTGGCTTTGTGGCGGCAGCGTCGGGAGGAAAGAGAGCAGGGATGTGGTTTTTAGTTCTTTCAGGAGGGAGCGGCGAGTGAGCGCCGACCTCCAACAGCAGCGGCGAGGAGAGACTGATGACAGCTCAGATTTAACACCAGTCCACCTCTCTCTCCCTCAGGTTTCCTGCCTCAGCCATATTGCTGCTAACTATCTGAACGCGGGGAAGGAGGCGAGGCGATGGGGGACGGCCCACGAGAGCATCGTACCTTACCAGGTAACACCCTGGACACTCACTCATCCCTCGTTCTGTCTCTTGCTCCTTTTTTTAAACAAACAAACACATTTGAAAAATGAGAATATTCTGTTTAAGAGTCGAGGGACATTTCGTGAAAGTCCTGCGAGCTGACGACGGAGTCACTTTCAGATACACAATTATAAAGCAATTGAACACTGTCATGTTGGTCTGTCACACAGTTTCCTGTATGGAAGTCATTTCCTGTTTTCTCTCTGTTATCCCTCATTATCTCCTCATCAAACTGCACACACATTTATCTTTTATCTTTTATGTGTCAACATCAATTGTTTTTGTGTCACATTTTAATCTCAATCAACAAATTATATTTGTCTGAAATATTTCCTCAGTTCTTCTTTGAGTTTCCTGCTTTTGAAAATAAAATACAAAAGAATATGGAAGTTAATTTCTCCTCGGTCCTCGCTCAGTTCTCCCGGATCACGTTTTTATTTTCATTACAAACAGAAGAGACTCGAGTGAAAATGCATTTCTCTTTTCCCTCAGCTTCTCTGCGGTGTCGTTAAAACGTGAATCATTTACTCTGCTGCACGGCACAAAAATTCAAAGCACACAGGGGCGTCGGCTGGACACAGTATTTCACAATAAGAGCGTGGAGATCAACACTGAAGATGTAGAGTGAAAACAAATCAAACCTGAAACACTGAGACATTTCAAATAAAATATGTATGAGACTTAAAGTGGCTGTAATGGTGGTTCCCCTCGGACCTGCACAGCTTTATAGTGACTTCAGCTCTGGTTCACACTCTCCGCTCTCACAGCATCATCTTCAGAGAAACATCTGTAATCAGCCTCTGTCCTCTACCTGCTGAGCACGCTGACTCAGTCAGAGAGCAGCTGGGGAACACAGTGGAGCATTTAGCAGCTACAGAGCCAGATGTTTCCCTCAGCAGCTGGTGGAGACCAAACACAGAGCTGAAAGAGCGGGAACACTGGACTGAGATTCACCAAAAGGCCGTGTTGTACAGAACAACATTAACAACAACTTAAAAGGTTATGAAATGTCAATGCTGGTATTTACCACTACTTTCTAAACCACCAGTTGTCGCGGCTTTAACGAATCTGTGCGTGTTGTCGACCAGGACGGGGATCCAAAGTGGAACCAGCTATCAGAACCAGCAAGCAAGACGAATGAGACCCTTTGTTCTTCTTCTCCCGTCCTTTGTTCCTTCCATATCTAATACATATTTAAGTCGGCGAACTCAGTTTAATAAAACGAACTCTATAATATTCAATAAACAATAAGAGGCTCTGAACATTCAGAGCCATGTTTTGTATCGGCGTGGATCCAGCCTGGGTCTCCAGTCTGCTTCACATTACTGACTGAGCCTGAGGGAGGGGGATGTTACTGTGTTATTATGGAGGTTCATGACTCACATGTGGACATGCACATTAAACCATCACACACACACACACACACACACACACACACTCTCTCAGATAAACTGTCAGCTCCTCCTGATGTTTCGCTCCATCTGAACGTGGCGGCGGTGGCTCGATTGTTGTGGTCGTTGTCTCTCACCAGCTGAAGCTTTATTGTGCGACGCTCAGATCTAATCCTCGTGTGAACCACCTTACCCACAATGCCCCCCCCCCCGGGCGCCGGAGAGAGAGAGAGATGAAAGTGGAGCAGGCGGGTTTGCTGGAGATCATGACAGTTGAAACAACAGAATTATTGGTGTTTTGCGGTTGCGGCTTTGTGAGGAAGATATTAGAGCAGAAGAAATCATCTGAACCCGCCGACGCTTTTCAAGTTCACATCTGATTTCTGAGACGGGTCAATTCACGTCTCTCAGAAGTGAGACATCCACCGTGTCAAAGAAGACAAGCATGAAAGGATCGCTGCAGCCAGGGAGGACGAAAGGTTACGGCCTCAGCAGACAAAATATTAATATAATATTTGCAGCTGCACTACGTCAACTTTATGGTTCAGTTCAAACGTCCAAATAGAAAATAAACCAGGTTTATTAAAGAAATGTTTGTGCGTTACATTATTTATCACTGACGTTGAGATAACGTCATGACTGAGATGTTGTGTATGGACCTCAGGACTGTAATCAACGTTTCTCTGCTTTACCACAAAAGTGGAAAAGAAACAGCTCTACGACCTCAAAGCCTTAAAGGAACTGACGGTTTTTAGAGCAAATATTAAAGGTCCATATTTTACACTTCAGCTGTTTTATCTGAAGTTTTCATATCCAGAAGATGAAGTATTTGTGGTGTTAAGGCTCCATATTTTCTTCTTCTTCTGTGTTTTATTTGAAGTGTTGATCCATCAGAACATATATTTGTGGTTCATCTCAGTATAGTTTTACATCTCTTCGCTTCTCTCTGCAGCTCAGGTAACAACAGGTCGGTGAGCCAATCAGAAGAGAGGAGGCTCTGAATAATGACTGGACTTTGGTTGTTGATGCTAAAAGCAGAGATTTTATTGTGAATGTCCAGACTGGAAGTTGTGATTTGTATCTCTCCGCCCCTTCATTCAGATTGTTTGTCTGCTCGTCGCTTCTCTTTACCCACAATCCTGCCTTCTGTTTACAAACTGTGTCGCAACCAATCACTGAGCTTAGCTCACACAGAGGATTCGTTTGGACAGCGCTGTTATTTATTTATGAGCTGTTATATGCAAATGTTTTGATTTGACAGTTCACTTTGCCCTGGTACGTGTGGCGCTACGCCAAGCTTGGCGAAGGACTGCCTTCGCCAACTACAGTTAACAGGGACGGAACTTTAAAAATTAAATATCTAAATATAGAAACTTTTAATGAGGTGATCTGATTCATCTGAAAAGTAGATCACGTGACTGTCCATGATATAAGATCGTCAGATGTTGGAAAGACTGAGACTGAACCAGACAGAAAATGTCCGATGAAGCTAAAACTTGGATTTAAAACATGCTAACGCGCTCAGCAGAGCTTCACATGTCAATACCTGAACATGGAGGAGGAGCTTCGGTTCTTTGACGGTTCTGTTGGAGGTCGGTGGGGTTTGGATTTGATCTGCAGCCAGCAGGGGGCAGAAGTCGCTCCGCCGCGACCTGACCGCTCCGCCTGCCCTGTCTGAGGACCGTTTGGGGTTTTGTGGGGGCGAACGTCCCATCGTAGTCCCCCTGTGGACTGCGTTACCCACAAGTCCCTGAGGCTGGGGATGAAAGAGAGGCGGCGGTCAGAGCAGAGCGTTGAGTGCAGTGTGACTAAAGGGTTAGTGGTCTGAATACACACACACACGCACAGCAGTGGGATGTGGTTAGTGGTGTGTGTGTGTTGTGATGTAGAACAGCAGTTCTCGACCTCCTTTCATGTGGCGACGAGTTTTTATTACAAGCAATTGTGAGAGAGAAAGAGGAAGAGGAGGAGAAAGTAAAGGCAGAGGAAGACGTTTAGGGAGGAAAAAGAAAGAGGACTTGAGGGAAGGAGGAAGAGAAGAAAACAGAAGAAGAACTGGTCCTCCACCATCTGGCCTTTTAAACAGGTTTCCTCAGGCGCGTGTCAGCTTATTAAACTTATTTTAAAACTCACGAGGGAGTCAGATGAACCTCGGTGCTCTCACCCCAACACACCCAACCTTCTATTTCATTAGAGTAAATTTCATATCTACCTGCTGGGAAGGATCCACCTAATGAAAATTATTTTGAAAGTCAACGACATAAAGTCAGCGTCTCTGCTACCTCTGAACCTCCTGACACAGCTTCTAAAAGCACGTCAAGACGATGGGGTGGAGTTATCTTCATTAAACCACAGAAGAAGAAGAAGAAGAAGAAGAAGATGAGGTCATGCACAGATCCAGTCAGAATGTTTTCTCTCGCAGTAGTTGAGGTGTTTGGTCTTGATCTGCTTCCAGAGGTTTGTGGTGTTTGATGTTCTTGTGTCTCCGTCTCGTCTCTCGTTTCAGGGCTTCAAAACCAAAGACGGACACATTGTCGTAGCCGCCGGCAACGACAAACAGTTCGTCAGAGTCTGTCAGGTGGGTTGTGTCACCTACACAAACACACACATTGTTAATGTTACACTTCAATATTGTGATCAGTGTTTGACAAAGTCTTAATGTTGTTTTGAAGAAACAGCCAAAGTGAGTTTAAGTCACACACATCTACACACACACACACACACACACACAGGTACATGCATCTATAAGAATCTAGTGTTGCTAAGGTGTTTCTGTTGTTGTGTGTTTGTGTGTTTGTGCAGGTGTTGGAGCTGGTGCAGCTCACAGAGGAGCCAAGATACAAAACCAACAAGCTGAGAGTCCAAAACCGCAAACAACTGCTGCACACACTGTCACACAGGTACACACACACACACACACACACTCACACACAGACACACACACACACACACACACACACTGACACACAGGTACACACACACACACACACACACTCACACACAGACACACACACACACACACACACACACTGACACACAGGTACACACACACACACACACACACTCACACACAGACACACACACACACACACACACACACTGACACACAGGTACACACACACACACACACACACTCACACACAGACACACACACACACACACACACACACTGACACACAGGTACACACACACACACACACACACTCACACACAGACACACACACACACACACACACACACTGACACACAGGTACACACACACACACACACACACTCACACACAGACACACACACACACACACACACACACTGACACACAGGTACACACACACACACACACACACTCACACACAGACACACACACACACACACACACACACTGACACACAGGTACACACACACACACACACACACTCACACACAGACACACACACACACACACACACACACTGACACACAGGTACACACACACACACACACACACTCACACACAGACACACACACACACACACACACACACTGACACACAGGTACACACACACACACACACACACTCACACACAGACACACACACACACACACACACACACTGACACACAGGTACACACACACACACACACACACTCACACACAGACACACACACACACACACACACACACTGACACACAGGTACACACACACACACACACACACTCACACACAGACACACACACACACACACACACACACTGACACACAGGTACACACACACACACACACACACTCACACACAGACACACACACACACACACACACACACTGACCAAGCATCAACCTAAGGCTGAATAATGAGCAGCCAGATGTTTCCCTCAGCAGCGGAGACCAAACACAGAGCCCAAAGAGCGGGAACACTGGACTGAGGCTCATCATGAATCACCATGTTGATGTGTAACAGCTGGACGTGGAGATGAACAGCTGTTTGATGAGTGTCGTGTGCAGAAAAAAAACTTCAGTTACAGGTTCAAAAAATCTTTTATATGATCAGAGTTGTGCGTGAACCTCTTCTTGGTGACAGCTGTGTGTGTTACCCTGAGGCTGCTGCAGGTTCTCTGTACACACACACACACACACACACACACACACACACACAGTACTACAGCAGTTTCTTGTTTGCTGAATAGTTTCTCTGTCTGAGTAAAATGGAGATGAGGAAGCACCTCTGACCTGAAGTCTGTCAGTCTGTGTGCTGGTGCAGCTAGGTGTGTGTGTGTGTGTGTGTGTGTGTGTGTGTGTGTGTGTGTGTGTGTGTGTGTTACTGTGTTACAGTGTTACAGTGTGTGTGTGTGTGTGTTACTGTGTTACAGTGTGTGTGTGTGTGTGTGTTACCGTGTGTGTAATGTTGAACGTCAGCTGTTTGATGAGCTCTGTAACACAACACACACACATTAATCATGTTACTCAGTGACACCTGTGCACGACCTCTGACCTTTTATTTACATGACAAACTATCATTATAATAAAAATGATAATAATGATAATGACTGACACAGCTGATGGTTACGTTCATTATCGATTGATCTGCTGATTTTTTTCTCGAGTAACTGATCATTTGTTTTTTTATAAAATAGAAGAAAAAGATTTTTTAAAAACAGACATCACAAGATTCATTTTACTGTCACAAAAAGCATCAAATCTTTATATGTGAGAAGCTGCAAACAGCAAATGTTTATTCTTGCTTAAAATGACCAAAGTGATTTTTCAGTTATCAGAATACTTGTAGATTATCTGTGTTTGATCAAGTGATTGATTGATGGGCGAATCACTGCAGCCCTACATACAGATGATATATTAAACAAGTGCTTCAACAAGCATTTGTAGTAAAAGCATGAGTGTGTAGGTTAGAAACAGACGATGATGATTATTTTGATAATATGTTATTTTATTATTATTTATAAGTAACAATCAATTTCTAATCATTTCTCTCTGTCAGGTTTCTGCAGGGGAAGACAGCTGATTGGCTGAGGAGGTTCGAGGGCTCAGGTGTCCCTGTTGGACCAATCCACAGCATCCAGGAAGTCTTCTCTGACCCACAGGTAAGACACACACACACACACACACACACACACACACACACACACACACACACACACACACACACACACACACACACACACACACAGCTGTGTATAAGTCCAGCCTAACAACACAAAGTGTGAGCGGTGCCATTTGCCATCGACTGTCTCTGTTGTTGTAACTTGTTATTCACGTCGTTCTCCGGGCGTCTTCGTTGGTCCCCTTTGTGAGATGGATTTACCGTCTCAGCGCTGGTCACATGATCAGTTTAGGGCTTTCCGAGCATATGAAGATCACCTGAATGCATCGTGAAACAGACCAGAGTTCTACAGGTCATTTCTGCTGCGTCTTCAGACACAGCTGTGGTTAAAGGATGGTGTGTGTGTGTGTGTGTGTGTGTGTGTGTGTGTGTGTGTGTGTGTGTGTGTGTAAATGAAACAAATGAAATAAATCACATAACGAGCCTCTTTCTTTTTTCTGTCTTCTTCTTCTTCTCTCTGTTTTCTCTCTAAAATAAAAACAAACATGTTGATTTTATATATATATATATATATATATTAATCCAATCAGAGGTCAGAATCAGTCAGCCCCTCCCCCTCATCCTGCAGGCTGCTCCTCAGCTCCGCCTCCTCCCACTCTGTCTCATTTGTTCACAGACTTCAGCTTTAGTTTAGACTCGTCGAGCGTCTTGTATCCAGATAAAATGCAGATGAGATTTAAGACGCCTTCGTTGACACTCAGTCACACGTCTCAGGGTCGACCCTGCTCCAGTCCAGAGGGAGGAGGTAAAGCACCTGAAGCTTTTTGATAACTGACAAAAACACCAGAAGAAGGACAACGTCGACACACACGCTCCATCAGCCTGATCGTCCAGTGGTTGAACTGATCAGGGATCAGATTGTGTCCTTGTATCTGACTGAATGTGTAGACACGTCTGGAGTTTTCCACACTCCTAGTGGGACACGTCACCACAATGCTAAGGAAGGAATGGGCGCAGCGAGGAGGAGGCTGGTGGTGACCTCGGTTACAGAGAGCAGCCTCCGTTTCCATAGCGACGGGTTTAAGGTCTACTTTCCATGCCTGGCCGGATGCCTCGTTTCTATTGGCCGTGCACGTGTTTGCCACAGCGCAAAGCAAATGAATTGGTAATGAAGATGATCAGTTGTTGTTGATTAATCAATAATGAAGATGATCCTCTGCTCTCCCTCAGTGTTCTGCATCTCTGTGGCTTTGAAGAAGTTTTATATGAATGTGTGTTTGGTGTTTGGGTGTCTTGAGGACAGCAGCTCCCATCACCACCTGCCATATAAAAGCTATGACTCAGTGTGTGTGTGTGTGTGTGTGTCAGATCAGCCCATCTGCCTCTCTAAACCTGCTGCACCACACTAACCTGTTTTCAACCAAGTTTGATCACACACACACCTGTGAGCGCTGACTGATGATACAGATGTTTCCACACATCTGTTACTTTTCAGATCATAAAATAAAATTCATTATTAAGGATCAAACCAGTTTTTCCGACTCGTTCTGCTTGTGAATCCTTAAACTCGTCACCTTTGACCTTCACATTGTTTCATTTCAGAAACAGTTTGGAGGTAAAACGCTTCAGTGTTTCACCAAAAAGCTCAATTTTGAGAAAATCCCCCCAAAAAAATGAATAAAAAAATAAATGTCACAGACGCTTTTTCAGAGACGGATCGTTACTGAAAGGAAGAAGCTTTTTATTGGGAGCAGATCAAACGGATTGATCAGCTTCTGAGCAACAGAAGGAGGAAACGGTTTTACTAATGAGCAGCTGGAGTTTGTGATTCCGCAGGTTTCTGAGTCAGTTCGTGTGAAAACAGTCGTTAGTTCGTCTGTTTCTTTGACGTCTTTTAATTCATCCTTTAGTTTTTATTACGTCGGTGACACCTGGGTCGATCCGGTACGAGCCGGAGTCGGGTTATGTAGCTCTCAGTCCGGATCACTCTGCTGAAGAATGGTGAGACGTTGCAGTGGATAAAATACTTTATTCCCTTGTGGCGGCGTTTCAACACTTTTATGCCACTGTCCTGACCTACACACTGTTTTGCTGACCACCTGTAGCATGTAGCTTCTCCGTGCCGTCTCACTCGCGGCACACATCTACTTCCCATCACACCTCAATCACCATGTCACACACACAGGTTCCCCACAGGGGGAAAGCTGGGCCGGTGACAAGGGGGTTCTAGTATAATGAATATAAAACATTTCATCATAGTTGTTGTTTTGTGACGTTAAAGTTGTAGAAATGAAACGCTGTTCGGACTTCTGAGCTCAGCGTTGTAGAATCACCTCGCTGACGGAAGCTCCTCACTGTATCTTCTCTGTTTCCAGACTTGCTTGCATCTCTCTGGCAGTGAATGTTTCCCACATGATGGCTGCAATAAACAGGAAAAATTCCTCTGTGAGCGTTAATCCGTGCGGCTGAGGTTCAGATGCAGCAGATTGAGTTTCACAGCATTCTGTTTACACCGGGCATGCTGGGAAACGATAGCCGCCTGGCTGTTTTGCTGGTTGTGCGTCCATTAGCCTCCAGTCACAGGCAGTAAACACAAGGAACCACATCAGACCTGCAGCTTCACAGACAGCAGATCATGTTGAAGTTAACTGAAAACATTGGGCTAATTTTTCATGACTTTATTTAAAGTTTAAAATTCCTGCCGTCTCTTTGAGACCAGGCTTCTGTGAATATCTCCTACTAACAGGTCTTTAAACTTTCATCTTCACTAAATCCAACATTAGAAACTATTCATCCCCCTGTTCATTATAAATGGGGTTTCTCCCTTCAAGGCAGCCATTGTTTTTCCATTTATTTCACCTGGAGATGCAGTTTTCAGCTGAGGCATATTGGTGCATTTACATTATTTAAAAGTAATCATAATTAAAAAAGATTGAATTCATCATCCTCATAATAATCTTTGTTCTGGAACCGATTGTCCAACAGTAAATCTCCTCAACTTTCTCCAGCAGCTGACTGCAACTTCTAAGCTGTCATTGAAGGCACCATCAAGGAAACCCTTTGAAAATGGCCCCTGCCAGCGACTTCATTATTACCACATGATTAAGTGTTAAATAAAGTTGTATAGAAGTGAACTGGAGGAAATGATTTGGCTGCCTGGAGGAGAATGAATCACAAAACTGATCAGCAGAAAGTAAAACTTTCTCAGTTTTGCAGTTAATGGACTAAAACATGTAAAACCAGCGGTATGTGCCTTTAGTGTGTGTGTGTGTGTGTGTGTGTGTGTGTGTGTGTGAGATATGGAGCTTCCACACAGCAGCTCTGCAGAGAAGCTGTTGCTAATCAGGACGGTAGGAAGTCACCACTCCAAAACCGAAATCTGGAAGTCATTTGGAAAAATGCCAAACACTCCTCCCACCCTCTCTCTCTCTCTCTGCCTCTCTCTCTCTCTCTCTCTATCTCTCTCTCTCTCTGTCTCTCTGTCTCTCTCTTCACTGTTGGCTCAGGGTCTCTCTCTCTGTCTCTCTCTCTCTCTGTCAGTGTCTGCCATTTTGTTTTTCTTCATCTTAGAGCAGCTACTGGTTCCTACAGTATTTTCCTTTAAATTCTTTCAATGAGTTCTTTAATGTTCCTCTGGTCTGTGGCCAGAATCTCTAGTCACTATGTAGTTGCTCTATATTTACTATCCACTGTGTTCTTTGATCCATCCAACTGCATAGCGTCCTCAAAACTTCAGACAGTGAACTTTCTGCAAACAGACCCACAATGTGTCACATTTAATGGTTATGAAAAATGCCATTGTGCAACACCACACCTGTTAGTGATGACACAGAGTGATGAGGTGTTGGAAATCCTTCATAACACCCACAGACTGTAAATAAAGGCGGATGTGGCCTCTGTAACATCACCCTCAGGTGTCTGAAGCTCAGAGTGAGCTGCCCCACTGTCGCCATCTTGGCAGTGTCTGACTCCGCCCCTAACTTCCAGCTAATCCATAAAGGGCCCCAATTCTCCATAACTTCAGTCCTTAATAAAATGGAGCCAGACTCTAGTGGTCATTAGATGAACTGCAGTTTGTTGTTCTTCAGTGTTGCTTCATGTTTCAGTCCCAGAGGTTGATGCTTGATAACGAGGGTTAGGGTTAGGGTTAGATTGGTTGGGGTTCGGGACAGATCATGGTTTGGGTTGAGGTTGTGGGACCTTTGTGGTCATGATTACAATCGGTCGTGCTGAAACTTGCAGTTTCATACTGAAATATCAGCGCGTTAATTACACCAACAATCTAATCTTACAAACGTCCGCCTTCCCTTCAGCAGGTGGAATTCATGAATTTGAAACTAATTATTTCTTATAATCAGTTTGTGCAGTTCGAAGAGAATCCGAACACAGACAAACCTGACAGAGGAAAGAAAGAGGTTTAAACAAATGTGAAAGTGTTTGCATAAGATCCAGCTTCTAGGCAGAAAGTGAATGGATTTTCTGAAGCCTTGGATGCCTAAAATAAATCCCTCTCTACATCTGTATTTGTCTTTTCTTACTTTCTCTCCATGCTGTATCTTTCTCTGTCATGTCTTCTTTCTGTGGCTTCATGTTTTCAACTACACCACCTTTTCGTTGTTCTTCTGTTCAGCTTTGTCATTGTTTTTTGTCTTTTTCACACTCACATTTTCACATCTTGAAGTTCTCACAGTCATTTTTACCTTTTTACTGTTTCCTGTCCCTCTGCCCTCTCGTTGCTCGCTCTGTCTCTCTCTCAGGAGTTCAGCAGTAACCGACCTTGTTTTTACGACTACAAACCCTCCGTCCATGTATCTGTCATGCCGTCTGGGCAGTAGCCAGGTCCTGCAGAAAATATCCAGCTAAATATGGCTTTAATATCCTGACTACTGGAGGTGCACTTGATTTATCCCAGCTGAAACCTAAACAGCCTCTGAAGTGGATACCTTACATGTAAGATCAAATAAATCAGCCAGTCTTGAGGCTCAAACCACCCACTTCTGACCGCACTAGTGCCTTGCACTGTACTTGGCTAAACAGGGA